CCCCTGCCCTGCCATGCAGCCTTGCAGTATGGCTGGTCTCCATGGCAACCTCAACCTTGCTGTCACAGTGCAGCTGCAGCTGTGGGCTCCATGGAGATCAGCCCCAGCCATGTGGGCAGGGGCTTCTGGGAAATGGAGTCCGTCTACCAGCTGGATCCACTATTTTGTCCACCCCCGGCCTAGCCTTATAACTTTGTGATTAGGGTATGCTCTAGAGAGGTAAGAGAAATTACTTGGAACCCCTGCAGTTGAAGAGAGCACTGAACTGAGGTCTTCTACTTCCTGGATGAGTGCTCTTACAACTGGATTATTTTAAAGGTAGTTATGTATGTATGCACTTATTTATTCTATTTATATACCACCCTTCCCAACAGAGGCTCAGGGTGGTTTACAATAAAAGGACAGAATTCCTATATAATAAAGGGCTTATTATTATTCTTATATTGTTCTTATATAATAACGAAGGCAGCACCGGCATGGGGTGCTGCCCCTTCTTTCCCCCTACCCCTGGGAGGTGGTGGTGGCATGGGATGATGGGTGGCAGTGCTCCACCCCCACCCCCCCCTGTCATTCCTGACAGGCAATTCGCAGAATTCACAGAATGCTTCAGAACTGCAGTTTCACTCTAAAGACCATTGATGGACAGGAAAGGTACCCTAGAAGTCTCAAGAATGGTGTCCTGAAAGGCTCAGTACTTTCTCCATTGCTTTTCAATGTGTACACTGTTGACCTACCTGATACCCAGTCCAAGAAGTATGGCTATGCCAATAACCTGGCTCTTACCAAATCAAGCGACCAGTGGGAAGCCATTGAGTCCACTTGGACATCAGACATGAACACCCTTGCCAATTACTTCTATAAATGGTGTCTCCAGCTCAGTCTTGTTAAAACAGTACAACAGCCTTCCACCTAAATAACCAAGCAAAGAAAGAAATAAAATTCAAGATTGGAGTCTGGACACTTGAACATACTCACATCATCATGTATCTAGGAGTCAAGTTGGACTGGACCCTTACCTACTGCCAGCATCTTGAAGGGGTCCAGGGTAAGTTGATTAGCAGAGGAGCTCTTATCTGTCACCTTGCTGGCACTACCTGGGGTGCAAGTTTCCAAATACTTTGCACCTCCATTTTGGCACTTGTGAATGCTCCTTCTGAGTACTGCGTACCAGTATGGGGCTGGAGCATGCAGACTACGTTACTGGATTCCAGCTTTAACAGCATCATGAGGACCATCACTGGGTGCCTTATGCCAACTCCAATTGACTGCTCTCTCGCCCACCCCCCCCCCCCCCCCCCCCCCCCAAAAAAAAAAAAAAAAAACAACCCAAAAAACCCAAACAAACATCCAGAGATGCTTTTACCCTGGCTCTAGGCCTCAAAGCCCAAGATTCAAACCTTTCTTTGCACTCCAGCCTAGTAGCTGCAAGCCAGAAAACCAACTACCACCTAAAGTCTCAGAACCCATTCCTCACTCAAGCCAATAAGCTCATTGAATCTGCAGATGGCATATCACCTATAGCATTGACTTCCCATCACTGGAACAGCCAACATGCTGTATAAGAACTGCAGCTAAAGAACTTCATCCCCAACATCAGCTTCCACCCTTAAGGCTGGAAGCTGCCTATCAGGACCTGGACTGCTCTTAACCATCTCAAAACAGGAGTTGGACGGTCTAAGTCAAGCACGCACTCTTCAGGCCTCTCCAACAACATTGGTTGCAGCTGTGGTGCTCAAACTCAGACAGCTGATCACATCACCCATGAATGCTCCTACGGCCTTCCTTTGGGTGTCCAAGGTCTTTTTAATATTGACCATTGCACCTGTTGCTGGTTTTCTGGTCCCCATGCTCCCAACATATGTGTGTGGCAATATAAGCTGCTGCTGCTTTTATTTCTCCTTCTTCTTTTCCTCCTTCTTCTTTTTCTTCCTATTCATCACTAAAATCAACAAATAGGAGAAGGACACATACTCGTTTTACTTTATATGTTTTTCAGCAACTTGGGGCAGGTAGAATAAAATCCACTTACATGCCTAACATGTAGGGTAGGATCTAGCCTCTATGTAAACTTTACTGGTAAAAATGTGAGTGCCTATGGATTTTCAGGTTGGGTAGAGAATTTGTGGATAGTTTTCTGGGACACAGGCAGAACAGGTTCTTTTGTGGATCTGGGTCTATAGTCTTCACTATAATATAACCACTCATCATTGTATCATATGCAGATTACAATACTATTTTGCATTGCTGAGGTGCATTTTCTTTGTATATTAAATCATAGAAAATCGTATGGCTCCCATAATGTCTTTTCTGTGAATATCAACATTAATAATGTAGGCAATGAGAAATATTTCTAATATTCAAGCCACTTAAAACCCTGATGTTATAGTTCTATGTTTTCAAATACAGTATAATGTATATTCCAGTTAAAATAATATCTGTTATGCTTTTGCTTTCCAGATTCTTTAGTACATTTGCTATCCCTAAACCCACTGTAGCTCAAAGAATTGTGGGTACATTGAGAAAATAAAAATGAGCAGGGAATTGCAGGGGGCTGGACCCCCAATCTCAACATCAGTTTTAGGCACTTATTTTATCATAATGGTTTTGAATATAGGGACATAGGAGACGAAACAAAAGTTTTTTCCTGCATGATGTTGTGCTTAATAATCCAGGTAGGAATCAAATAATCACTACAAAAGGAATTAAACAATGAAACATTAGGGAGTCCTGTCCATTTTAGCATGTAAAAAGAAGGGGGTGGGGGGAAATCATTTCTCCAACATGAATTGAAAGTTAACATTTACACCAAATTCTTCTTATCACAGAAAATGTGGCATTGCAAGGAACAAAAATGATTCTTAATTAATGACTGAAGCCCTTATGTGATACTAATCCCTTACTATTTGCTAGGTTTCGGTGGTTGCATGAAGGATGTTAAATTTACACGAGGTGCTGTCGTTAACTTGGCATCTGTGTCCAGCAGTGCTGTCAGAGTCAATCTGGATGGATGCCTATCAACTGACAGTGTTGTTAACTGCAGGGGAAATGACTCCATCCCAGTGTACCGAGGAAAAGAGCAGAGTGTTTATGAGAGTGGTCTACAACCATTTACGGGTAACTCGTTGGTTCCTTAAATGAAATAGTACATTTTGATTTCATTCTGCATTAATGTGTTCTCATGTTCAGTCTGTCTCTCTCTCTCTCTTGCTTGCTTCCCCTTTCCCCGTCACACCCTTGAAGAATACCTATACAGAGTGGTTGCCTCAAATGAGGTTGGATCAGTGCCTAGTGCTTGGAGTCGTGGTCGCACAAGAGAATCAGGTAACATGGTTTTTAGATTTGTATATTTCTATTTTGCACTATCTTATGTTAGGCCAGAGGAAATCCCACCATAAGAATTCTGATTGAAGAGTACAAATTGCGCAGTATTTTTAATGGGAACCAAAAATTCTTGATGTTTTGGATGAATACCATATCAGTATTATGTTATAGCTATAAAATGAGCAAGTAGTCACTTTTTCTCAATCTATTTCCAGGTGGTATTTTTAGATTATGTCTAACTGTATGAAGGCAAGGAATTTGAAAGGGTTGTATTGTATGCACATATATGTGTATCAACTACATAACCAATCTATGCTGATATATGCAGACTGAAACTTCCAGTCAAATTTCACAAGTCTGCTAGAAAGGAGGCAAATAATAATAGTTAAAATGAAAGGCTAGACAATTCATGAAAAGTGTTA